AAACTGAATCTCTGTGCATGACCAAACAAAATCCTGCTCTTCCTGCTGACATCGAAATGCCACTATCCCTAGACATATTTTACAGTTGGTTTTGCGACCATGCAATGCAGGTGCTACAATACCATGGAGTACCTCAGGCTAGTAGAACCAAAGGGAAGGTAAGAATACGCCGTGTAAATCCGCAAAACTGACAGAGAATGTTATTTTCTTCCCGGCGGTATCGAAAACTAGTAACTTGCACCATATAATTACAGTTAGTATCACACAGCCTTAAATTGTCAGCGACAAGAAACAGTACTCTGAAATTTTCCAAAAATCACCTTATGCTTTACGACAACCTCTCAGATTGGTACTGAGGAAATATGCTACACGGGCATAAGCGCTAATTGACAAGAGATTTTAGAGCACCCATAAATGAGTATAATTAGAGAAGGTTTGACCATAAGATATGCCGAATACAAGTAATAAGATGACAAAAGTAAAACGACTATGCGAAGCCACTGACTTTAGACAAAGTAACTCTTACTGAGTAGACACCTGACTGCATCGACGGTGCTGTTCCATGCGATAATACATGACTGATCGTTGATCCATTCGATGGCGTTTGGGCGATCGTCTTTAAAGAAGTCAGCTACTTCCTCCGTTGACATCTCGGATAGGCCGTAGACGAACAGCGCGTCGAATCGGTATTTCGCCTTATGGACCGGGTTGTCTGGGTCGACGTCGAAATACGTGTACACCTTCCGTATATCTTCGAAGCTGACCGGCAAGCGATCGGCCTCATTGTCCTCCTCGTAAGGACTATCCAAGCCGAACCGCTTGGCCCTCTCGACCCTCTTTCGGCGGTTCTCCTCGTCGTTCACGAACGATACGTCACCGATATCTGCTTGATCGGTTCTAAAATTCTCCCTGTGCTTACCTGAAGCATCGTCAGGTTTGTTCGACGATGCTGGACAGGGTGGTAAAGACTCTTCCTCTATCGAACAGTTTGGAATTCCGACGCGAACAGTCTCTAGATCTTTCAGCTCATCTCCTAATTTAAATTCGGAACTGTCTTCAACTAGCAGCACATCTTCAATACGATTCTCGTCAACTTCCATCTCTCTGAAATAGAATTTTCTTTTTTAGCTCTTGCTACCATCAGACAACGATTTTCAGGTTTGTTACCACCCATTCAACGCTCAAACACTCAAACTGGACATATGCAAACAGACATGCTCGGAGTTTAAATATTTCTGCCGGAAACCTGCCAAAGCTTGAGCTACACAACTTAAAATTTATAATTTTCAGTTAAAACAAAAGTATATTTAAAAATTTACAATAAAGACAAGGAAGAAGCCATGAACGAAACAACTGCCCATGTTTCCTAGTGAGACCATTGTTGGCATTGTAACGGATTAAACGAGCAATGCTAAGGGAACCGAAAAGACTTTTATTTGCAGTTTATTTTATTGACGAGTTGTGCTACCACAACAATGCCATGATCGACCATTAGTGATGAGGCTGATAACAAGACACCTTAAAGAGAATAATAAAGCAAAATCTAATTAACATCACAAAACGTTGGTGACTGCTCAAAGTCACTCATAACGTCATTCCGGATGCATAAATCAATCAAATCCCCGCATCTTTGGCTTATCAGAACTAAAAAAATAATTCATGTGCGCTTTCAATATTCTATGAAATCACAAATGAAGGGTCTTCTTCATAAGATGACCAAGTCTTGAGTATTTTGTGTCGAGCTCAGAAATATCCACCTGATGGAAGAAACATTCTGCTGTCAAATTTGACTACAATTAAGTGTTCTTTGACTCTGATGTTAATCTTCTAGGAGATTTTGCCAATATCAAAGATAGAGTAACGAACGAACTTACCAGAGGTTCAAAGCGAAGAAGAATGAAAATAAATGAGTAATACATAGTGAAGTACTCTCTTCTCTGCAGACTCATTAGTCATAAGCTGAAGGAGACACGCTTCGAGAATTTCTCATTACGATAGTTGGAAAAACAACTGAATACCACAGAAGCTTCACCCTATGCAGGACAGACTTAACGCTGTATCATTGACTGTCACAGCGTTGAATGGCGAGGATAGCGCCTTAAAGTCTTA